AATAACAAGCTGGAATGAAAACAATCAAAAATTAAATAAAAGTAACAACTTTCTACTTCTTGTCTTTTTTAAAAATGTAAGGAGTAGAAAGTACAGATAATTGTGTGAAGTAAAATACAGATACCCAAAAATTCTACTTAAGTACAGTAAAGAAGTATTTTGTACTTAGTCACTTTACAACTCTGCAAGCTGAGCACACCTGGGGATTTGCTCAGGCTCAGACCAGTTTAATGGACCTCTGGTGGAACCAGTCTCAGGTTTACCCTAAGATCTCTGCTTTGGGTCACCATCATGTCGAAGGCGACCCATGTTTTCTTTTTCATTTCCTCGATCAGCCATGTCAAAAATGGACACAGCGCAAAGAGCCAACAGAGCTTTAGAAATAAAAGAACGTCTGACTTCAGCTCGTTAACATCTGATGTGTAAAAACACGGGCCACAGTCCAGTCTAAACAGCAGACTTTATTCTCTCAGCATTTTTATTATAAGTGCAATACAGAAGTTAGCAGAGCAACAATATTTAAGGGAAATTCACTTTGTGGTTTCACAGCTGCCAACACTGTCTTGACAGATTCATTTACTGTAAATGGTTACAGGGGGTTCTATGCAAAATTGACTTTTTTGACCTTTATATGTTATGTTATAACATCATTCCCCCATCAAAAACACATCCAGTGTTGCTTTGACTCATTTTACGTTTGAGAAACCCTTGACTCTCCTGTGGTAGCCATGTGGAGCTGCCATGAATTCATAGTTTCTTCTCAAGTGTCTGATTCTCCATCATGTAATAAACAGTAATGAACCCTAGTCGTCATGTGACAAACAGTAGTAAACCGTCATGGGTGACAAATTGTAAAAAAAAACATGGCAGTAACATAAACCATGATGGAGTCATGACAGTCACATGACAAAGGCCAGTGAATCATGGCACTCGCAACTGAACCTTAAAGGGACAATATCATGCAAAATCAACTTTTTTGAGTTTTATATCATGTTATAATGTTATACTCTCATAAAAAAAAAAAAA